GTACCGGGAACCTCGCGAGAACGTGCGACGCGAGGATCGAGTGAAAGTGAAGTGGAGGTGCGACGATGCCCATTGTCACGACGTTCCAAGATATCACAAACAAAATCAATTACATTTTCTTTATTTTTGTGTCCAAATTGGAGCTCGAATTGAATATAGACTATTGTGATTAACTACATTAACTAATGCCTATTTCTATCAATGTAGAATAATTTTAATCTCGCTTCAACTTGCTCTTCATCTTTTTCTAATTCTTAGAACTAAAAAAAGGTAAAGAGTGAAATTAGAGATTAAAATTAACCTACATTGGTAGAAACGAGTAAATATGTTAGTTATCATTCGTTGAAGAAATCATCTTTGGACGATAGTTCGAAAGAGGCTTTCGCGTTTCTAACATATAAACCTGATGAGTTCCTAAATCTCGTGTGCACTAGTCGAGTTTATTAAATTCAGACTGTCATTGACTTTTATTTTATTTTGTACAATCAACTAGAACCCTGTGTCTTCTTTTAATTTTGTTTTACACGTCCTACTAATTTTATTTTACAGTCATCCCATAAATTTCGATGCAGCATTAAAATATTATGCATCTAATGAATATTTTAATTTAGTCTGCCTAAAAGATCATTTTCTGTTAAAATAATTCTTTCAAAGTTCTTAAAAATTCTTAAAAAGTTTGATAAGTTTGTTAAATAAGTTTGTTAAAATTAAAAATTTCTTCGTGTATATCTTTGATCTTAACAGTTGCACATACACACATTCTTAGTAAATAAAGATACCTGATCAAAATAGAAACACACAACGCTTTATAAATACGTTACAAATATCTACAGAAACAGGTTAATCAATTGGACTTCTCGCTAATCGAATATAGCTGTGATTAATCTAGTAATTAAAACAATGATTATAATCCAATGTCACCTAATATATTAAAGTCTATCACTTTTTCTAATTAATATTTATTGTTCCGTTTAATTGCAATAAGAGGTTTCATTAGCAATAACATAAATTTCGTCATTCTAATGTGAGTAAAAACTTTTCTATCACTTGTGGCCCTTATTGTTAATTTTCCTATTCGAATATATATCACTCAGCGATTAAGATTATATACGACATGATACTTAATGACAAAAAAAGCAATTAAATGAACTCGCTAAAAATTATTCATTTTTTTAAATAAATACCGATTCATAAATTCTTAAATATATTCATTCGACACGTTGTGACCGAGTTTCTCCAAACTCTTTTATCATCGTTTTCGTCGGACATAAATTAATTAGTCACGTACAAAACTGAGAATAACCTTAGGTTCACTGAATGTTCAAGAAATCTGAGGTTCTCTTTCGGCCTAGGCAGTAGGCACTTCTCACCAGAGGAGAACGTGAACATACACCGCTAACGAGCGGCGATTTTGGTGCCGGAATCCCAACGCGATAGGTAACTAAACTCGTATTACCGATTCTACCGCGGCTAGGACAGCCGCTCGGTCAAAGAAATCGGTACAAAGATTGATGCTCGCGCGGCGCGTTTCACTCTCGCGCGGCCGGTAGCGGTCTTTATCGAGAGGACGTCGTATAAACGCGGCGTACTTTTCGTGACGATTAGCGGGGATGACGTGGCGTTATGCCGACAAAAGCGCGAACGATGGTTTACCGCTGCTCGTCGGGGTGTACGAGCCGGCGGAGAGAAAAGACGGCGGCGATCCTGAATAGAGCCGATAAGGAGGTGGCTTGGCAAAGCAAGGTGAGACGCCGGCGAGAGGTGTACCTCGTTAATTGGCGACAATTAACAGGACGAGCATGCGACTGGCTACCGAAGGCACTCACGCGCGTGATACGCGCGAAAAGGCGCCGGTCTTTATTCCTTGCGTTCTTACGCAAGAAGCCGCTCCGTCGCCGCTTTCTTTCGGCGCGGCCGATTTCCGCGACTTCATTTATCAGAAACCCGCGTTCGATCGAGGATTCATAAGCGCGACGCGGAAAAGAACTCGCATCCACGACCGTTACGTCAATTTCAGAATCGCGCGAGTCGTAACGATCGTAGCATTCGGTATGCATACTCTGCGGTTTCTTTCACGGTTTGACGAAGTCGCAGTTAAGAGTTTAAGCCGATCTATTTATTCATATGCGGTCATTCATCTGACATTATCGCCCAAGATTATTTCATCTCTTCGTTATTTTAAGCAGGATTTCTCTTCCTTCTTTTAAATCAATTTACGCGTTACGATGCTGTTACTATCAACGTAAATAATGTTAATAGTCGTAGCATCATGATATTTCATAAATATACATATACTACATATTCATAGATTATACATCACGTCTTTCATTTCTATCAATGTAAATTAATTTTAATTTCGGTTCGGTAAATTAACTTACTTTTTATCTTTTTCTAATTCGTAGAACCAGAGAGAGAGAAAGATAAAAAGCAAGTTAAACTGCGACAAAAGTTAACCCACAGATAGAAACGAGTACCATTCAATCAATTTCGATTCCCATATTATAGAAAAATGAACGACGTTTTTAACTGTCGAGACAATTGCAAAGTTCAAAGAGTATATTTTCTGATTTCTATATTTTGATTTTAACGCGTAACACGGGAAGCTGCGAGCTGTCACGAATACGTATGTTGATCTCCTGAGGAAAGAATTTATTGTTTCTAGATAAGTGTCAAGAATCAGGATTTTTGTCTCACTTCAACGAAAGAGACACTTCAACTCCTCCGGATTCGAACGATCGGAGGGCGTGTCGGGATAATCGTCATCGTGTTTCGGCCAAAATTTAATCCGAGAACAACCTACTAACTTTCATGGTGGTTTTTCTAATTAAACTGTACTCCGCGGCAATAATTTTCATACCTTCGTTCTCCAGAGACGCCTTAATTTAAAGCGTCGTCAACGCAGAATGCAATTATCACAAGATGCTTAGTGTCATCGTACTATTGGAAATATCGTTGCAAACAGTTTATAGAAAGGTATATTAATCGAAAACATATCTTAGAGAGCAGGACGACGGCAATTTACAGATAGTCTCCTCGGAGCGAAGTAATTAAATTAGTTCCGAATCGTGTGATAAACGAGACTACTTGATTATTTCTCGAATATGTGTGTGATATTGGAAATGTTTGGATACCCGAGCAAAACACGATTTGCTGCAGAGAGTACGCTTCAAGACGCACAACTGTGTGATATCGATCATTATAATCACTATTGCATTTAGGAGAGATGACGGAATTTCCGAGAAGATGTTGCGAAAATGTTTAATGCAACGGTTGTGAATATCATCAGTTTTATACACGAGGAGAAAAATGATTGAATAATTTTTATGACATAAAATTACTAAAAATATTCTGGCTATTTTTATCGAACTTATGACAAATTGTATTTGTCTGGAAATAAAAATATCAGAAATGTGTTAAGATAAAAAGTATAGTATTATTCATATCATTCATTAAGGAAAGTAAAGTAAATTTTTATATATTATATTAGATGTTGGAATTAATTCGTAGCGTTTTTAATGAAAGAATGTTATTTATTTCACATGAGCATTAAAAAATACATTAATGAAAGTACTTCCCATCACTTGTAAAACGCTACGAATTAATTCCAACACCTAATATAAGTAGGCACCTGCCAATTTCTATTAAAATTTACTAGAATTCTATTTAAATTTATTAACACATATTACTTTACATTGTTCTTCATCTATATACAAATCGATTTTTACTTTTCAACAATTTCTCTCGTAACACGACACAGGTTTTTTTGTTCCGCTAATAATATATTAGACTTTATTCTTAGTAACAGATCCGAATCTCAATATAGAATTAGATTCAGAATCATATGATGCTTTGTTATTAAACAGAAGCAACCTCCAGTTTTGTTATTTATAGATGTTTACGTGATTTTCATTATGTCGTTACATATCAATCCCTAGTGAGATTTTATCGAAATTATTCATATTTAATGTACGTAAAAACAACATGATTGAGGATTTTTTTAAAGATTTTGTGTGATTCTCTTTTTTTTATTGAGAAAGGATCGGTCACTTATATAACATGTGTGTTTTAAAAAGATAATAGTTTATTAAAATTTCAAATTTGATTTTAAAATTATCGTCTATCGATTTATTTATATATAATTTAAAAGATATAACCATCGCTCTTGTAGCCTAAACAAATTTTAACATTTTCAGGCAATATATTGCATAAAGACTTTTCTTATACAAGACGTAGTCAGTTTCAGTTTATATTACAGTCACATATTAGAGTTATATTAGAGTTTATATTACTTTTATACATCTCAGTATCTGATAGAATCGATGCTTTATATTTCTAAACGTAAGACAACAATAATCGCGGACAATATTATTGATTCGCATAAAAAAATGGAGCGTTGCAAGTGTTGTGAAAAAATTACAATCGTGAAAAAATTAAGATAAAGACTTATTCTTTTGTTCAGGTTTGTTCTTTTTCGAAAAATATTTTTAATTAATATACATTAATAAATATAATAAATTAAAGTGAAACATAGTATGTTTTATTCCAATTTATTCATCAGTGTACACCAGTTCAGAATGTTTTTCGAAAAAGAATAGATATTCTACTATCTTTAAAATAACGTCAAAGTAATAACATATCATTCGTCAATACTTCGCTCAAGTGATTTTAGAGAATATCGCGATTCACTCGAATCGTATATGAAGGATATATAAAACATATTTTACACAGAAAAAGAAATGAAGAACGAAGTACAAAGAGTAATATGAAGGAATTAAACTTGTCGCGCGTCTCGTGCTCCATTCAGCATACTTTATAAATTGACAGTCACGTCCTCTCGTCGTGTACAATGTTCGCACGGAAAGAAAAGATATTTCTAGACCGGAAGATTCGCAACCCTCTCGCCACAGGGTGACGTTCGAAGTCTTCCTCCCCCCCTTCCTGCCCCCAGTGTTTACATAACACGCATCTCATCCTCACTCAATCTCCTAGTTCTCGCTTACCTTTTTCGACGTCCTCTCGGCGATGCTCTCGCTGGTATTCTGTACCGAACGAAGACGATATCCTTGGAAGTCAATAATGTTTCTCGAGGATGATCTTCTCACGCACGTGACTTCCTCTTCTTCCTCTCTTCTTCGGTACGCTCCTCTTCGTACGTCCTCACTCGCGAATGTTGGTCATCTCAAAAATTTCGAAACGGCGCGTCACACCGAAGTGTCAGGACTCGCGCGGTGTACGCTCGTGATGATCGCGGATCTCGTTGTCGTTCGACGCGGACGATCGGAAGCAGGGAATCCGCGTTTCTCAGGACTTCGAAGAAGAAGCCGCTACCAACGGACGACTACGCACACCGTGTCGGAGAGGGCCGGCGTTGTGTGATCCACAACGGCGGAATAAGAGGAAACACGCGGGAACGCGTTGCCGTCGAAGAAATGTGGGCTCCGCTTTTACTCACTTGGCATATCGTCCGTCTCGCGCGCGAGCGAGCGTTACCTCCCGGGTGTTGTTCCTTCAACGCCGGCGACGGCGTCGATCGGCGACGGTGGCAGGGCGACGACGCCGCGCGCGCGGTTCGTGGTATCGCCGTTTGGCGGTGCTGAAAACGCGTGCCCTGAATCGCCACGAAACCCCCCTCTTCTCGGACCCGGCCCGCGCCCCTCCGAGACCGGCTGCCGTGGCGCGTCTGCCTGTGTCCGTGTGATGCCGCCGAGGATACACGGTACGTCGTGGACCAGCCGGAGGGAGGAGTGCAACGGGGTAAAGAAGGGAGAGAGAGAGAGGCAGCTGGAAGCGAGAATGCGTACGCGGGTATATCAGGGTATATGCGGAGGATGGGCCCCGCTGATATACTCGTATATGCGTGAGTATGTGGCTCGAGCCGGAGCCGGAGCCGGAGGAAGAGGAGGAGGGGAAGGGGGAGAGGCTACGCGCGCACACACTCGTGGTTCTCTCGCTTCTGGCACGCTCTCACACGCGCGAGTCGAGCGAGTTCTACCGACGATTCTCTCCTGAGCGAGTGTGCGTCGCTCGCAGGATCGTCCTACCTTCGATACACTCCCTCCGCCGTCACGAACGGCCTGCCTCCATTCGCGCGGCAGACGAGATACGCGCGGAGGACGGGCTCGCGTATGCGTGCCTGTGTGTGTACCGTTGAACGACGAGGTAGGGAGGGGGGACTCACCAACACTACGGCGAAGAGAACCGCTCGAGTATAGACGGGGAATTCGCGATTCGCGAATACGCGCGCCATACACATTTATACGCGCGCGCGGAGATCTCGGTTCGTCCCTTTCCGATACACTCCCCGATTATAACCAACTATTTCTCCGGGAGAACGCCCCCACCACCACGTTTATCGGAGGACGAGGGTGTACCGGAAGGGCGAGCGGAGTAAATGAGGGTTCGCGATGGTAGTTCGGGGTGTCTTCCTTTTCCCGCTTCCCCACCGCTATCGTTATAAACGAGCTCCGCTGCCGATGATACATACGCGCGCGCAAACTCTCTCTCTCCCGGTTCACCCTCTCGATTCTTCTATCCCCCCCCCCTCCTCCCCCTTCTGGCGACGGACACGTCCTCGTGAACACGCGAACAATATCCCCGTACGTGAACGAAGAAATGTGTTTTGGTGGGGGGAGAGGGGAGGGGGAGGAAAGAGCGCGCTGATGGAAGTGGACGGCATGGGCTCTTAACTTGCCCTCTTGCTCTTTCCTCTCTCCCTGCCAACCCCGTTCATTGCCAGAGATTTAACGCCGGTTGTTGTATTTACGCGTAACGCCGCGCACGCGACGTGAGTGAGGAAGAGTCCAAAGCAGTTCGCTCGTCCTTTTTTTTTACGTTCGCCATGAAGAAAAAAAGGACGATGTACACGGCTATCATTATTTTTCATGAAATCGTACGTAGACTTTCTTCTTCACCCCCGTCGCTTGGGTCGAAATCGTTCGCGACTGCGTGCGATTTTTTTTACATCGATTTAACATATCGCTCTAGTTTTCTTGAAAACCATACGAAACGTCAGCAACGGACTCATCCGCGAGTGAGGGATGCAGCTTCCTCGCGTCTTCTGCTCTCTAATGGAAATACTCCGCTTCGATGAACAAGTGCGCGCGGACGCGTTTGCGACGCACGTACCGCTCGCACATACACAAGCACGTACGGTTGACAGGCACACCCTCCGCGGTACGTGGCTCGCCGCAAAGGCGAAGGGAGGAGAGGGACGGTGCACGTGCGCGCAGCATCCGTATGGACCAAAATGGCTGGCGGCACACGTGCCGATTGGCCGAACGGAGATGGCGGAGGCGTGGAGAACGCGCGCTTGCCGGCCGTTAATCGGTCGACGATCAAAATAAAGATCTTTCACCGTGGTGAGCGGCTGGTAAGAGAGAGAGAGAGAGAGAGAGAGAGAGGCGTAGCAGCGAGAGTGGGGATGTATGGGGTGCGCACGTTGTGTTTCGTATGCGCCTTTGGTAGGGCGAGATCACGATAGCGAGAGGGGCCACTCGCGATCGGTGGGGGTAAAGGACTTTTTTTATGGATCTCATGCTGTCTCCGTTCCGCACTCTCCATCACTTTCCATCACTCTCGCGTTGCACGATGCATCCCGCGTACGACGTACGGCGTACATGTGCGTGTACGCGGGTGTATCGGCGGGCGAGTGTCACGCGAGCGCGCGTGCACGCTCGGCGATCGTCATTAAGGGAGATGCTAATTGGTGGCAAAGCGAGGTCAGGCCAAAAGCCTTGCGCACCGTGTCCAGGGACTTTGCGTGTTTTTGTTCCGCTCTCTCTCGCATCTCCCGATGTGTGTGCGCCCGCGCGTGCGACTGTGTTTGGCGGAAGTCCCGGAAATTCCAGATCTCGCGAACGCTTGATTTTCCGCATCCACTATTGACATCGATGGTTCGGTAGAAATAGAATAGGTGAAGTAATACGGTCCAGAGATAACGAAAATTAGGAAAAATAAATGGCAAAAATGAAGAAATGAATTATAAAATTTAATTAACTCTTTCTCTCTTTCACGTTGGCATTATTTTTTATATTTTAAGAAGTTAAATTGAAAACTCTTTATTTTCTCCTTTTATTTATACATATATTTCCGTATATTTCAGATCACATCATTTTCCAATGCAATACAAAAATAACGTAATCTCTCTTACTTCTTCCAAATTTTATTTGTTTATTTTATTCACTCGAGATAAATCAAACGTCTTATTTTTCAACGATGTAGAGCGTGTTTGTTTTTTAAGTACAATCTTTTTTTCTCTACTGAACCACTAATTCCCACATTTTTGTCAATAAGATATCTAATGTGAAGAAATACTTTCAAAAGATATGTTTAACAATATCTGTCTTTTCCTGTATCTGTGATAAATACAATATTTTAATTATTGAAAATTTTTTTTCGCATGTAAATTATTATTTGATAAATATGAAATAAATATAACAGTAACTTCAACCTCTTTTTGCAATTGCTATTATAGTTTGTTTATAATAGATATTTTAAGACATTTTGAGTAATGTTTTAAGATGTTAATACACAATTCTGTGATTGATTTATAATATCTTAAGATTGTAAATATAAACCATGAAAACACTGCTTCTCGATTGCTCCTTTGTCAAAATAAAACTTATTAAAAATTGATTATAACAAATATATTATTAATATTAATTATTAATATTTTAATATATAATATTTTATACTCTATTTATACCTCTCAAAATTCAATTTTCTATTATCTATGAAAAGACAGTTGTCGCGCCAATATGGAACTGTTCTTCTTGTTAGTTTGTTTTTTTTAAAAAAGTTATATTCGGAAAAGTATATCATATTTTTGAGACGACTTACAGGAATATGTTTTACATGAGAATAAACGTAACCCTTTCTGCGCGACGCGACGGTTCGGAGCCAGGCAATGTACATCGTAACTTTCTTTGCACGATTTACCTCACTACTGAAATATCATGTATCTCTTCTCTTTCGTTGAATGTATAGTGCTATGTCGACAGAATATCATGTATGTATATTTGCGCGCGACATATTAGAGAAACGAGCGAATTCACTTCGTCGATATTACGTTTTCCGCGGATCCTCAACCGGCTAATTATAAAATGGTAAAATGGCAGATAAATGAAAGTAGTGGAAAAATTCAAATGTTGAATTATTTGAAATTGTAGGTATGTATCTTCGACCTGGTCATTATTTTCTACCTGAAAAAATTTTAGATATTATTTTATGTTAATGTAGAAATTAAATCTATCAAGTGTTAAAAAATAATAGTATACACACACACACACACACACACACACACACACACACACACACACACACATATATATATATATACAAGCTGTTCTATGAAATAAGAATTTTTTCTACCATGGTAAATCATTTTCCAAACTTAGGTTAGATATAAAATCAATATTTTTTTCTTCATTTATTACTGAATTTATACTAGCATTCACATTTAAAAATACAATACCGTACGTAGCTGAAACGGGTTTATTTTGTTATCTTATTTTATTCTATACGTCTATACTTGTAACATAAGAACTAACCTAATAAAAAACGTTAACAAAATATATATATATGTAAGACAAAAAGTTGTATTCTAAAGATGAACAATATCTTTTTTTATTATATTTTATGACAGCAATAGAGGAGAAATTTATGAGCTTAAGGAAGGCCTTTCAGTTTCTAAATGTCTGACCTGCTGAAAAAAATTTGTCAGTTTCACAATTATTATCTTACATAAATATAAGTTAAATAGGAATTTCAAACCTTAATTTTTTGTTCACTGTATTAAAATACATAGACATTTGAGTTAAATAGGAATTTTAAACCTTAATTTTTTGTTAAATATATTATAGAATATACAATACATAGAGACTGATCTTTTAGAATATACTGCTTTTAAAGATAAAGTTAATTGTGAGCGAATTTATATTGAATCGAAAAATCGTATATATGAAATGGACACAGTCCATTGTTAACAATATGGACTTCAGCACAAAGATGGTCGTAACTGAGTAGTGAAACGTGAGTCGTAGTTATAAGTGTCAACAGACAATGTTTTGGTCAACTCACAACTACGACTTACGTTTCACGACTTAGTTACGGTCATAGTGGAATTAGACACGGTGCTGTATTCCCGAAGATTCGCAGTAGCAAAATAATGGCGTCTCTATTTGTAACTGACATGAATGTAACGTTTGATGATTCGATTTTATGTTTTCGAATTTTTATATATTATTATTTAGTTTTTATTAGTTTTTAGTTTAGTTTATAATAATTTATATATATGATTATTTTTATTTATTTTTTATGAAAGTCATGCTAGCATTTAGGGCCGATTTTTGATTGGTTGTGCCGCCATATTTATGCGCAATATAACATCTTGTTAAATTGTCTAATTCCACCATGGTTACGACCATCTTTGTGCTTAGGCCCTATCTCGTCGGTGGTACAACACTTATATCAGCGTCAGCGTACCAAAACTGATAACGGATGGGGTGCGTATTCGTCCTAATAAAAGTCAATCCTGGCAGTTCCTGTTAGTACAGATATGCATTATATCCATTTTCGACACTACGATTTTATCGGTAATTTTGCAACATAGATGGAGGTAAGGTTTCCTGCAGACAACCTTTTTATTTTAAGTGTTTGTTTCGTCGACGTGGTTGTTTAAAAGTTGAATGGAGGCAGCAAAAATTTCACAAAAATCACTATTAGACTAAGAAATGGTAAAGGTCTCAATATAAATAATTTTTTTTCGTTCTCGACATAAACTCCATTTCACAAATATATATTAATGCATATGCTTTAATTCTGGAAAATGAATTTTCAAATTAATACATATACTCTTCTAGATAAAAGAATTGAGATTTGATTTATGAATCGATTTTTTATTTAATTAAAAATTAAATTAATTAGATCAAAAGTGATAGATCTGAGAATTTTGTAAAAGTTTTATTATTATTTTCCAATTTCAAAATGCATGTCACTTTAATTGAAAATTATTACAATCAAAATTCTCTAAAATGATTTTATTTAACATTAATCAGTTGTAATATTTGTCTGTCCTATTACAAGACTACATTTTATTTGAGAAAAGTACGATAAGAATTCCCGATGCTGAATCTTCGAAATAATAAAAGATTGGCTTTTCGACACAAATTTTCAAGTATAAACCCGAAGGATCACGTTGAAACTGCCGGTTATGATCGTCCCTGTATTACATACGATATACCTTCTGTTCGCCCGTCAATCTCGTGGGCAGAAACGGAGGCCAATTGTTGTTTGTTTGTATTTACTACGAAAGAGCACCCCGGCTGTGCCTAGAGGAGCTGCATCGACGCTATGAAAAGGGGGAGGTTGGGGATTCACTGGCATATCGTATTCTCTATTCTATAGTAGGTATATACAGTGCATGCGGTTGGGGGGCACGAGACGTTACCAGCCTGGAAATTGAATGTCACTCGGAAAAGAAACGTCACAATATTCCGCGTGTCGGTTCCTGGTGGGAGCTGTTTTGTAGCTTCTCGTCTCATTTCTTGTTCCGCTTCTCGAAAGCTATTGTGCACGCTTCGTCACGCGACAGTTTTTACAACAAAAACAGTAATAGTAATCGAAGATGAAAAATTTAGGAGCCTTTCGAATAAGCCAATCAAATATTTCAATTTTATTTTGCGCACTCATGATAGCGTGTCTTAACGCGATAAAGTACGAAAATTGCTTGTTACTATTTGAGCTTGTTACTATTATATAAAAATGAATTATAACTTACTATCTAAATGATAATTTTAAGTAAAAAAATTTTAATTATTAAAATATATTTATTTAAAATTGTAAAAATGCAGAGTTTTGTGATACCATCTCTTTTTTTTCTTTCAATTTTAAATGATTAGTAATAATAATTTATTAAACACATATATAAGATGAGGCTCGGAAGAATCTATCGATAAAAAATATAAAAAAGCCCATCAAAACCAGAAACGCATAAAATATAATAACATTTATTATATATTATTATATTTTATTCGTTTTGTTACATTCATATGAAAAGAAAGAATTTTCTGTGCATCCGAACAGCTGATGACGGCTTTGATGAGCTTTTTTACATTTTTCACTAATAACTTATTGCTATTTTGAACTCTGAAGAAGTATTATCAGAAAATACACATTGAATTGACTATTTAAGAATTGAACATCATGCGTGACATGTGTGCAGCAACCTTGTCTAATAATATCGGCGACAGGGTAGATTGGCGTGCATCTCATTGACCGAGAAATCCTTTCGGCATCTGCCAAAGTGGATCGCGTGAACTTTCCGAAAGAGCATGTCCCGTATAAATCCAATGCCCGAATGTTTGACAGAATAATTTTCACGTTAGCGGGGTGCATTATGCGTCTTTATGCTAGCGCCTGACCGTGCGCATTGTCGCCGAAATAAGCCGTATCCCACACGACAGCTCCCTGGTCTTTTATGATCGTTTCGCATGGTATACAGTGGCTCCCCAGAAATCTTGACCGTATAGTAGCTGCGACCCAAAGCTGGAAATTTGTCTTCAACCTATGTGCAGGCCCGCAGCGAAAGTCCGGCGGAGTGAGCCAGGGGCGCAGAACTCCTAAAGCACGAAAGGCTCTTTAAAGCCATGAAAATATAAAAGAGAAAGTTGTAAAATAGAAAGTTGTAATTATATAGTAATATTTCTTGCTAGGTATACACCGATTATAATTGATTTTGAAATATGACACTGATTTTTGTTTACAGCAGTTAAGCCTTAAGCACATACGTAAACATATACATACATAAGAGGAACACATAGAAAAATATAAGGCAGTAAAATATAAGCAGTAAACGAATCGGAGCCAATCGCAGTAAAGAACGTAAGATCATTGCTTTAACTAGTCACACACACTTTCCGTAACAGTAATCTTAAACGTAACATAGATTTTTGACCAATCGCGTTGCTCGATTCCATTATCCGTAATCGTAACCGTAATCAACAATTGAGCAACACGATTGGTCGAAAACCTTACTGTTACTGTTACGGAAAGTGTGTGTGATTAGCTTTATGTATGGTCTACAATGGGTAGTAACAGTAGGCATAGAAATCGATCAATCATAGTATTCATTGTACATAATATGTGCATCAGAGAAAAATAGGATGAAAAGGAAAATTAAAATAAACCGAATTAAGTAATCTTTAAAGGATCTATTTTTAAATTCTAATAGGTTTTTCTTGAGATTTGTTATAATTTATTACTTCTTATCATAATATGATAC